AAAACTGCACAATTAAAAATGTTGAGGTCAGTTTGATTGGGCCTGTTCAAGTTCCCGTCCATGCCTCTAGCACCGGCTTACGTAAAATTCAATATTTAACATGAAATGGTACAAGAGTCACTGTATTTGTTTATACAGGGATTATCTTATAACCTTCAATATAACCTCTCATGACAATCCATGAAAAGGGGCATATTAGCCCACGTAAACAAATGCGTTGGATCTCACTTAACTAAATAAATCGGGATTTTGAAAGGGGACCAGAGGTCAGGGAAGCCTGCATATAACGGACAATCTGTATAAGATATTTGAATGATAATTATACAGTATCAACAAAAAATACCCAACCACTAAACTAGAAGAAAAACTAAAAAAGAAGTAACTGAAGAACAACACAAAATTAATCTCTTTGTTTATTGTACTTATACATCGAAAATATCAACAAACATATCTCAAATATTTGATAAAAATTCAAACTTGTTTCCATAACTTTAAATAAAGAAAAAAAAATGGAAATCCCTAAAGAACCCGAAAACGACAAAAATTGAAAATGGTGAAGGCTGGTTTCTTTGGCCTGTTCATGGCTGAAGGTAATCGGAAAATATAACCTGAGGAAAAGCCTGCATATCAAATATCCGTTTATATAATTACCTTCAGCTGAAAGCAGGGGGTCGTAGACGGTTACGCGTCCTTGAAAGCGTGCATACCAATGAATACAAGCACGTACATATTACATTATGCAATTTTGATAATCAGTGTACGTAAAGACATTTTTCATAAATCGTGACTGAGACCATATTACGAGCGTTAACACCCGAATTCGTGAATGATGCACCAGAACAATCATTATGTTGATTTACCCCTAAAATAGTAGCTGAATCTTTTTTAATGTTTAAGGAATACTGAAATATGAAGATTTGTTTTAAAAAAACTATGTTCACGTACATTTAATTCGACGAAACACTTAAGTCTTCAAAACGAATGATTTGTAAAGAATTGTAATGATGATTTAAGTATAACATTACCAGCCGTTATGCGCTTCTCATTTCGTTTAATTAATTAAAAATTAAATATTTTTGGTCCGTTTAAATACCATGTTACTCGTTTTGGTCATAGCGTTGCACAGATTTATCGTTATATTGTTTATTTGCACATTCCTGTGTTACTAGATATACACGGTGTAAATGCAATAAGATATTATCATTTTTTTAAAAAAATTTTTTGTTAACTCAAAGTAAGAAAATTCACACTGTATGACATTAATGGATTAGATTTTGCATTTTTATTTTTTTTTTAAATGTTTTGGGCTTGAAATCGAATTTTTAAAATTTAATCAGTTGTTTTAAATGTAAACTTTACGAAAAGGGTATATAAAAAAGTAGGGGTGAAACAAAGTTTTGGCGTTTCAATCCCTGGCATTAAATGTCTCAAAAAAAATTGGAAATGTAAAATTTTAACAGTTTTGATCACTTTGAAAAAGGAACAAAAATTTGACCCTGTAAAATTGATATAATATATCGAAAAAAAAATTGAAACAGATAACAAATGGAAAGTAAATATATCGTGTGAAAATGTTCTATGGTTTTTTCCCTTTATATATTTTATAGAAATTAATAAAAAACTTAAAGAAGAGAAAATTTAAAAAAGGGAGACGGGAATCGGGGAAAAGATTTAAGGGTACCCCCTAAATTGGGGTAAGGACTACGATGGGTTTAAAGCCCCAATAAAGGAAATTTGGGTGCTTTGAACTAAATTTGTTAAAAACGGTTTAACGAATATTACAAATGGTTGATGTTTTTTTAAAGTGCTTTTGAAAAAAAATTTTGCATATTATATATCATATTTTGAGGCCCCATAAAAGAAACTTTAATATTTCTTAAAATTTTTTCCCAAAGGCCAAAATCGTTTAAATTTTAAACTTTTAAATTTTAAAAGTTAAAAACCTTTTGGGTACCTTGGGGAATGGCTTCAAAAAATTGTCTTTTTTAAATTGAAACGTGCTTTTAAAAAAGTGTTATAATTTCTTCAAATTAAAACTTCCCAACCCTTTCCATAGTAACAAAATATATGCTTTAAAAATAGACATTGGGAGGTTTTAAAATAAACCTAATTTAAAAAAATAGATTTTTTTTAAGTGGTTTATCAGACTTCTTTAAAAGGGTTTAAAATATAAAACTTTTTTAAAAGGCCGTCCGCAAAATTTTAGTTGCTACAAAATCTTCATTCCACCACAGAAAGTACACACTACTACCATAATATTCTAATCATTCTTTTGGAAGCTGTTTTGTGATGTGTATTTGTAATTGTAGGAGAAGCACTTGTTTTCTGCATATTATGAAAAAGCAGACAAACATTGTGAAATCTTAAAAATTGTCAAATCTATCTCTTTAGATATTTGATAACATATCCCTTAAAAAGAAAAAAATTACAATTTCCACGAAACAGAATTTAAATACTGTTTTTAAGCAAGCGCAAAAAAAATTTTAATGACCGAGAAAGGAAATTAAGAAACCAACACAAGAAAGGTTGAATTTCGAACCCAGGAGTCAATTATTTATTACACAATCATCCCAAAATAAAACATTTATGCGGTTGCTATTTTCTCAAAATATTCGATTTTCCAGTTGTTTTTTTAACATCGATTTTGCTTTTACTTAACAATTTACTGCTTAATGCAGACACTTCGGTTTATCACCTGTTAAAATGTGTAAATTTAGAACGACAGAATGTGTTTATTTTCCAATACCTTTATCAACATTGATTATTTAAAATATAACAATTATCAAACATTTTTAAAAACGCTACTGTCAAAATTGAATATGTATTCTGACGTTTTACAATGGCTAACAAATTGACGCATTGCAAATCACTATTATTATGAATGTAAAAATTTAAATAGGAATGCATTTTATCTCATTTTGTCCAATAAACCGGAAAATAGCAACATTGAAGTTAATCAGACGTGGTATAAAATTTTAAAAAAACAAATGTAAATTTACTTATTTTTTATTAAAACCACTAAATTTCACGGAGGATTATCGCCGCTTTTTGAAAATATAATTTTTATCAAAGTTTTGTTTTCGTTAATTGTCGAGAAGCAAGTATTTCTAAAAAATTTTACAATATTTTACAAGGTTCGTTACACTCAATCCGCAAGTTTATTAACATTAAAAACATCAAGCTAAGCTTAAAGGTTATGAGAAATATGACTCTTAGTCCCAACTGAAAGAATTCGAATATAAAAGGATTTTTTTAAATTTGTTAATAAATATTAGGGTAACAGCCAGACGAAGCGACTCCATTTTCCAAATTTTATTCCCAATACCCAACAACACTTTTAGTGTAGGCATGAAATGAATAACTTAAAGAAACCACAATGAATATATTTTAGGATACCTCTAAGATACTTGCAATATCATAAGCCTGTATTAAAGATGATATACGTTGTCATTAAAGTTAATATAAGTTTATAAGATAAGTAAAAATATGAAAAAGGTATGATGACACAAGGTTTTGTAAGAGCGACATTACACAATCATCTTTAAGGAAAAATATCGTCTTTAATTTTCATTTTTCATAGATATGTTAATATATGTAACGTATTTAAAAATTTACAACTCTATTCATATTTAGAAGCTTTTTAAAAAAATCATGGGAAATCATATGAATGTGATTAGGTCGGTTACAGGCGTCTTAGCATTATCATTATTTTTAAGTTAATAGGACTTAAATAGAAAAATGGTGTATTCATATACAGTTTAAAAGAAATTCGATACGATTCAAATCTCGATAGAATCATAGCTTACACACACCGATAGAATCATAGCTTACACACACAACTTGACAGAAGATAAATGTGCATAAATACATAACAAAACAAAACAAAAAAATGTATCACTATTTTTATGAATTGAACGGTACGGGTACATTCCAATTGATATATATAGAATTTTTTCTTGGACCACATTTGTTATTAATCGTTCATAAGAGGCAAATTATAAATTTGTGAGGAATTATAGTAATATGTAAAGTGATGTTGACATTCACCTGTTCACTCACTATTGGATGTGGTAGTTCCTAATGTATGGAAAATACACCCTTTTGGGATAATGCCTGTTTAACTCTTTGTACCCAGTGTGAACAAATTATGTCTTTTATCTTAAAATATTTCTTAACATTTATTTGTAAATTATTTTATTACGTTTTTAAAATGTTTATTGGGTTAACTGAGGGGGAAAATTTCCCACTATTTAAATTGTTTTTTTTAACTGAAAGATTAAAATAAATTGAATTATTCCAATAAATTCATTAAAATTAAATTATCTATTATTAATTTAGTAGAACATGTTCTTTCTTTGTAAGAACGAGGAAAGACGAAGAGAATAAACCTCTTTCTGATCTGGGATTAATATATCCATAATAATCATTTGGTCGAAGGACAGGCCCGCTTATTTAAACCCATAATTTTTGATAAAATAACCCGATTGCGAAAAAGAGGTTTTTAATCATTAAAGGGAAAACCCTTTTTAACAAAAGGAAAATGGGGTTATCAGCTTAATGATTGGTTTTCCCTTTAAATTTTTTTTTAAATGTCGTTACCCAAAAGAAATATTTATACCCTATTAAAAAAGGCTCCTGGGAAAGCAAATTTCCCATTGGGGGTTTTGTTCCCAGGGGGAAAATGTTTGTTTACTTTTTTTTAAAATGCAAATTTTTCATAAATTTAAAATTAAGGGTTTTTAAGACATTTTTACGACCCAAGAAATTTTCTTAAATTTTTAAAAAAATTTTAAATTAAATTTGGGGAAAAAAAATTAAAATACCAAAAATAAAATTTAAAAAATAAAGATAAAATGCGATTTAATGTAACTAAGAGTTAGTATGAAACAGAAACAGCGTGTCATTGTAAGAATAATGTAATCAATTGAAATAGGCGTATAAAAATATTGGCATCCATATGAGGCGTAAATGCTTCATTTTAATTTTTTTTTTTTAATTAGTCCATCTGAACCGACAAATAAAGACACAATCATGACTCAGCTTGCCTTCAGCGGATTGAAGATCATAATTTTGATACTCGGACTGACTGGCCATATTTGTTGCGCAGGTAAAACAATTAAAATTTGATAATTTCAATGATACAAAACTAAACTTTAAGCGTCTTTTATAGAATTTAATAATTTTTAGTTTGATCTTTGAAACAAAAAATGTTTATGCATATATTGTGTTATTGCAAGGTTAAACTACAACCCCATGCGCTTTAAAAGTAAAAAAAAACAACACTGCAGCCATTTGATATAATACTGAAATACAAGGTTCATTTTTGCTCATCTTTTAGACATGAAAATTTAACAATGTATTTGAATAAACAATTCGGAGATTAAAATGTATGATGTGGGCTTCAAATCTGTTATAATCAGGTGGTGTGATTTAAAACAAAATGTTGGGTTTTCATCTTAATATTAATTTTTCCGTGAAACGGTATTCAATTATTAAAAGTGCTAACACCTTTTTTGAAGAAATTGAGCCTGATTATAAGATTTGAATGATAAAACACGATTTTGTCATCTGAAAACCACGTCAACATAGGAGTTTTAAGTTGTTGTTTTGTTCTCTCAATAAATGATTATAGTTTTCTTATGAAGGTAAATTTTAATTTCCGTTCGGCAACGCTTCGAAGCCTTACCGGGATATTTTTCAGGATAGTAACGGGAGCGGGTATGCGTCTTGTTTCTTTAATGTACACGAGGTGCTCAGGATCGCGTGACGATTATTTTACCTGCTCAAATTTAGAAAATGTTTAAATAATTTACAGGTATTGGACGTACTTTCTTTTGCTCAAATGTGTATCTATATTGGATTTTCATTTACACGTATCGCTAACGTGTCTATGTCGTGCCATTTGGTCGGTCGTTTGTTAAAATAGACACTGCAAGTTAAGTTAAAACAAATGTAATTTTGTTCGATAGTGTTGGAAACTATCATCTTATTGAAACACTCTCGAATCCGTTTCTGGAACCAACCAGTACTAAGCAATGTGAATCACGGAAACAACGGCTTGCCCATGATGGGGTTCAAATCGATCGCAAGATCAATAATCCTTAGATTACTAGTCCGAAGCGTTCACCACTCGGCCATGCAATGGTTAAATATTGTAAACAAATTCAGGACAGGTGCACAACATGGCACTATATAATTTTATATGTGTCCGATTTGAACGATTCAATTGGAAATCGTTTCAAATTTACGCAGTTAGTTGAAGTGCACTTAAGTTGCTTCTGATAAAAACCGCTAATATTCTATCATTGGTTGAAGCCATCCAAAGGGTTTAAAAACAACAACAACAATTTTCATTTACGAAGAATGAGCTATTGTTTTTTAGTTTTAGGACAATAGAATTAGTTCGATCCTCTGACAAAAATGATATTGATAACGAATAAAATTAAATAAATTGACATTCATTTCTTCTCTAATATGACATAAACGTCAATCACGAATTCTACAATTTATTTATTTATTATAGACTTTTGAAAATAATGAAATATATGCCTTGAGATACTGACCCCAGGGTTTGCTTGACACTAATGTTGACGACTTCACTATCATATTTGGTTAAAAAATGAAATGTTCAAATTTGGTTGGACAGATTTTTTAAGAAAATATATAAAGACGAAAGCATTAATACCAAGAATCAAACTTGATTACGGAACACAGAGAATTAAAAAGAAAAATTCAAAAAGAATTCCTACTGTTCTAAAATAATTGAAATAAAAAAGGTTAGTGATATATTCTCGAGTCCTTTCTGATGGATTATAAAGTGAATTATATAAGTTATTTTGAATCAGTCTGATGACACTTGAAATACTGATACTGAATAAATTCGTTTTTGAAGCTGTGCTTATATGTATTTTGTATTTAAGACATGACCATCCTAATGGGCACAATTAGAAACTGAAAAATTGACAACGTGTGTTAAATATATACCTTAAAGGACAAAATTTAAACAAACTTTACCGTACGGAAATCGAGTTATTGCCACTTTTCTTAATTTAATCTTGGATGTATAAGGGCCCTTTTTCAGAAATAAGGAACCGTTAGATAATCTATAATATCATCCTTATGAAATATGTTTTCCCATTGATTTTTGGTAAGAAACACAATGTAACATTCATCAAACAATCCACAAAAGCAAAATGACTGTTTCTACTCAAAATTTAGGAAATGTGTATAAAAATGTTACCATACCCCACCCATTTTAAACATGTGTTTGACCAATTTCCTGCTTGGAGAGCCTAATTAAAAAAATACTAAAATGAGTGCCAGTTTTCAAAGTTTCCTTAATTTTTTATCAAAAGTATACTGGTTGTTCTTGTAAAATATTAAATGCTTTTTCCGTCTAGTTTTGATTTAATTGCACTTTGGAAATAATAGGTGCCATATTTATATTAAATTTAGCATCATTCAGCCAATAAATATAGCTATATAAGTAAAATAATCAAAATAGAACACTTCTTACTTCCCAAAAGGGATATGAGAGATACATGAATAGTGTTACTGAATAATGTTAAAAGAAAAAAAGAAAAGAAAAAAAGTTGACCCATCTGGGGCTCGAACCCACGGCCCTAAGTTTCAATGTATTTAACAGTAGTTCTAGCCTATTTACATACTCTTCAATGCAGAGGTAATGCATTAGGATGGTCAAACCTTAAAGCCAAAATATCTGAAATGAATTGCAGCGACAATACCGAATGCACTGTAGCAAAACTCCGAATGTGATACACAAGCGGCAAAGTGTAAATGTAAAGATACTTTTACAGACAATTCACCTGACGGAACTACATGCACTGCATCATCATCAATAAGTAATCGAATTGATTTTAACATTTAAGGTATTAGCATCCTAATGCATTACCTCCGCGATGAAGAGCATTCAAATAGGCTAGAACTACAGTAAAATTCATTGAAATTTAGGGCCGTCGGTTCAAACCCCAGACGGGTCAACTTTTTTTCTTTCTTTTTTTCTTGTAACATTATTTATGTATCTTTCATGTCCCATTTGGAAAGAAAAATGTGTTTAATTTTGATTTTTTAATTTATATAGGTATTTATTGGCTAAATTATGCTAAATCTAGTAATAAATATGGTACCTGATATTTTCAAAGTGTAATATAACCAAAACTAGACGGTAAAAGTATTTCATATTTTACAAGATCAACCAATATACTTCTTTAAAAAATTAGGGAAACTTTGAAAACAGGCACTCATTTGGGTAAATTTTAAGAATTTTTTAAATTAGGCTCCCTAAGTAGAAAAATGATCAGACACGTGGTAAAAATGAGTGGGGTACGGTAACATTTTTATACAAATTTCATAAATTTTAAGTAGAAACCATAATTTTGCTTATGTGGATTGTTAGCTGAATGGTACTATTTGTTTCTTACCAAAAATTAATGGGAAAACATTTTTCATTAGAAAGTTATTGCAGATTATTTAAAGGTTCCTCATTTCTAAAAAAGGGCCCTCATAACATCCTAGCTTGAGGTCAGAAAAGTGGCCATAACTTGATTTCCGTACGGTAAACTTTGTTTAAATTTTGCATACAGGTGTACTTTAAGGTATACATTTGACCTATGATGTCAATTTTTTAGTTCCTTATAGTGCCCATTAGGGTCCTAATACCTTAATTCAAAATGCAATATATCAATATTTACAAACACAAAATGATAATACATAAATTACAACGAGGATTGAATAGAAAGCTTAATATATGAATCTATCTTGTTGAATGTATATACATATATGGAATACACTTAAAAATAATGTCGATTTAGGTTTTATTTTACATACAAGTTTAACTTTCTTAATGGGAAAATAGTAAGTAATGAGAAACATAAATCAGCTATTCCGGGACGATATATTATTGTCTTGTTTTTATACTTAAATTACATCAAAATACACTGTATATTTGTAGTTGTAACATATTGGTGCGCAAGCTGATTATGATGACACAATTTTGATACGGAAATAAAAGGAAAAGAACATACGCTCTTTAAATATGCTTTTTCTTACTTATCACAGTGGAACATTAAGTTAAAATTGTGATGTAAGCCAAAGTATCGGAAGCGCAGTGCCAGAGCAATGTTACAATCATTTTTGCAATAAAACGAGTTTTGCAATAATTTTATTGCAAAACTTGTTGCGTTAACATGATTTTATTGCAATTTGATCACAACCGGTTTTGCAATAAAAACAAGTTTTGCAATAAAATATTTTTTCTATCGGATTTTTTTGAGATTATACAAAAGACATTATGAAATTTCTATGTATATTAGGATTCACATGCAGGGGTTATTTTTTCGGTATAATGAATACATAATATGCATATGCTCGAACAATAATTTACATTCTAAATTTCATTAGTTTTTTTATTTTTAATATATATATATATATATATATATATATATATATATATATATATATATGATGAAAGAATGATCATCATGAAATATCAGGACATGTACATTTATAACAACAAGTGAAGTTTTTGGAAACTCTTGTGCTCAAATCTCTGTGATATACATACATGACCTTTTAATAAGGTCTTAACTTACCAGTACGTTGAAGAAAGAACAAAAGAAACGAGTTTCGCAATAATTTTATAGCAAAACACGTTGCGTTGACATGATTTTATTGCAATTTGATCACAACCAGTTTGGCAATAAAAACGAGTTTTGCGATGAAATAGTCTTACGAGGGACGGTCAGAAAATATCCGGACTTTTGACTCGTTCTCGAAAACCATTCAACATTTTAAAAAAAATCCTTCTACTCTTTTTCAAAATATTCTCCACCTACGTCTACGCACTTTTGCCATCTTCTTGGGAGCTTTTGTATTCCCGCTGTGAACCATGACGTAGACCTATGTTTTAGGTACTGTGTAACAGCAGATATCAAAGCCGCCCTGGTCTTATATTTCTTTCAAGCAAGCAATTTTCCAGTTCTGGAAACAAATAAAAGTCACAGGGGGCGAGGTCTGGGCTATAAGGAGGGTGAGACAACAATTGCCATTTGTAAGAGTTGATAACCTCCACTGTAGCTGCGGTGGTATGGGAGGGGGCGTTATCGTGAAGAAGGAGGACATTTTTCTGTGCTAACCTGGGACGCATTTGCTTCAGCTTTTCTCTGAGGTTTTTCAGCATTACTTCAGAATAGTACTTGGCGGTGACAGTTTGACCTTTTGGCATAAAATGAGTAAGTATCATTCCTCGTGAATCCCAAAAGGCAACAAGCATGACTTTGCCAGCCGAAGGAGACAGCTTAAAATTTTTAGGAGGTGGGGACCAGCTCGTTTCCAATGCTTTGACTGAGCTTTGTCTCAGGTTCGGAATAATGAACCCACATCTCATCTCCAGTGATATTGCGGTTCAAACACTTATCTTCTTTACAATTAAAACGACTTAAATGTTCTTTTGCTCTGGTTGCCTTTTGATCTGCGGACAGCTGTCTAGGCACCCACCTGGCACTTACCTTGCTCATGCCTAGGTGTTCGTGTAAAATCTTGTGTGCCGATGCCTTACCGATGCTAAACTTGTTGACTACCTCCTCCAAAGTCACTCGACGATTCTTGTTGACAAAAGCTTTAACATTTGCTACCATTGTTAGGGTCACCGCCTCAGCTGGCCGCCCAGTCCTAGGCCTGTCACAAACACACGTTCTGCCTTCACGAAACTGAGAAACCCAGTTGTAGAAGGTTGAACGTAATACACGTTTATCAGAAAATCTTTTTTGAAGCCTCTGAAAGAAGTGGCAGGGCTTTTCACCTTCTGCAACCAGAATATTTATTACAGAGCGTTGTTCCTCTAACAAAGAGTCCATGATAGACGAGACACCTATCATATATCAAAGGGCAAAATACTGTGTATACACAACTATCATTGAAAATAAACTGACCACGTTATTGGCGAATGAATGTAGTTTTCACCAATATACATGTATAATGTGTGTATATAGCTGCACGTGGAAAGAGAGGAGCATGAAAAGTCCGGATATTTTCTGACTGTCCCTCGTATATCGTATTTTTGTAGAAATTATACTCTAGACATTAGAATTTTACCTTTTTTATATATGAATTGACATGCAGGGATTATATTCGGGAATAATGAATACATCTTTAAAGTCATTTAATTGTATTAGAATTGATATGAAAATAAAATTTAATTTGGAATTTAATTTTAAAAAAAAATGTAGATTTGGAAGTTTTTAGCTCAAATCTTGTAAACAAACAATGAATTTTTTATAATTTAAAAATTTAAAGTAAAAGTATTCAAGAAGTTTAGACAATGTTATTGTCAAACTCGTTGCGATGATATAATTTTGATGATTGATTTTACTCCTAGTTTCACAATGAAGACGAGTTTCGCAATATTTTTATCGCAAAACACGTTGCGTTTCTTTATTCAATTTTATTGCAATTTTATCGCAACCGATTTTGCAATAAAAAACGAGTTTTGCAATAAAATATTGTTATATCGGATTTTATTGATAATATACTGTAGACATTATTAAAAATCTTTCTATATAAGGACCAACATGCAGTAATTATATTCGGCAATAATATATACATGTATATGTCAAAAGAAATTACATCCTAAAAGTCTTTTTCTTCTTTTAATAGATATGATGATTGAATGGTCATCGTAAATTATCAGGACATTAACATTTTTAACAACAACTGTAGTTTTGGAAACTCTTTAGTTCAAATCTCTGTTGTATACATACATGACCTTGTTATAAGGTCAAATCTTACCAGTACTTTAAAAAAGAGTTAATAATTTTATTGCAAAACTCGTTGCAATGACTTAACTTTGTTGCATTTTTTTCACAACCAGTTTGACAATAAAAACAAGTTTTGCAATAAAATATTCTACTATCATATTTATATTGAAATTATACTCTAGACATTAGAAAGTTTAATTTTTTAAATAAGAATTGACATGCAGGGGTTATATTCGGAATTATGAATATATGTAAATGATATAACAAAGAAAAAACATCTTTAAAGGCATTTATTTGTATTACAATTGAAATGATAATAGAATTGTAATTATACACGTTTACTTTATCAAAAACAAATGTAGATTTGTTACAACCAGTTTTGCACTGTGTCGAACTCCGAATGTGACACACAAGCGACAAAGTGTAAATGTAAAGATACTTTTTACAGAAAGTTCACCTGACGGAACTTCATTCACTGCATCAACACAAACAAGTAATGGAACTGATTTTGACATTTAATAATACGGAAGTCTATGTAATTCATACATTGTACAATTAAAAAAGTATAACATATGATATTCAATCTAAATAGTGTCTGTTAACAAACCGGAACTTCATGCATTTAACCGACAAGTAATGAAATTATTTCTTACATTTACTGACCTAAACAAATTGAACATAAGTGTCTAAGTTTGAAGTAAAACAACAAAACACAATTACTTTGTTTACTTTTTTCGGTCTCTAGAATGCATACAAGTGTTTCGTCATTTTCATAACGTTTGTTTCGGTTTATGAAATATTTAAGTCCTATATAAAGTTTTTCGTTTTATTCCACATTTAAAATACTGCACAGTTTCTTTACAATAAACCGCGTATATCCCGTAATGCAGGACTATGAAAATAGCACATTAATTGTGCAAAAATATCGCCGGGAAAGACATTCAGGTAACTGTTTTGAAGGTCATTGTTGAGAACCAAATTTAACTAAATTGCAGAAAGAAACTATTCAATTTTAGGGACGGCTTTCACTAGATATATTTCTAGATTTCTTACAAGTTGAGTAAGGATAGAATAATTTGACTTCACAATGTCACCAAAGAACAACTATTATATCGCTTCCCAAAAGATTCTCCTTATTTGTAGAAAATTAATTTATTTATTCAGCACTTGGAACCACGTGTGATGCGAACAATGCGCAAACTGTTTGTACAGAGGCAAATGCAGATTGTTCTTCGGGGAAATGTTCTTGTCAGACAAATTTTGTAGAAGAAAAAGGGCATTGCCTGAAAGGTTTGCTATTTGCTTTAGTGTTTAAAACAGATATATTTTGATATGGTTGTTTTGAACTCATATTTTAATGAATACATTTTCAATATATTCATCACTTTTGTGTAAGTCTCGCTACAAAAGAAGTAACATATTTGTTACTTTATCTCAATATTAAATTCTTAAAATGCATCGTTTGATATGTATATGCGGTGAAAAAGAAGATTTTATGATAAGCTAGCAATAGCCTTTAACTCTAAATTCATAATCATTTTACCCTTATGCTTATAAAAGTAAAACATTATTATTCAGTTTGTACTTTTGATGACACCATGATGATATATATAATGAATACATCAATATATCTTATTTTTTCTACCTTAATCCATATTAGGCTCAATTACATGAATGCATTTGTTGTGAATGTATGCATGTATATGTGTGTTTACAATTGGGATACAAATACTGACTGGGCTACTTTTTTTCTTTTTTTTATTCTTACATATGAGATAGTGTCAATCGTAATTACAAACAGTCGTTTTGCCACGTGTTCATGCTTTCTCCTTACAATTTTAAGCTGTTGGCCAACAATGTGCAGCAGCCACGGAATGCGTATCAAATGCTGATTGTGATACAACTTGTAAATGCAAAGAGGGGTTAGTTGATACAAACGGATTGTGTGCAAAACGTGAGTTAATTCAGCAGAACAAATATAATTATCAAAAGCTTTTGCTGTTATGATTATTATCAATTAGGGATACCAAATGTTTTCTTCTTATATTGTCTTTTCAATTGCAAAATCTAAAGGACTATAAAGCCTCAAAATGCTAGTAATATTATCTCTTAAAAATGTTTTATTTCTTTTACTTTGTTTTTTTTCTTTGTTCATTTTGGGCTCTTGACGTTACTATAATGAGTATTTTGTTTTTGAAGCCAAAGTGTCGGAAACGCAGTGCCACATCAATACAGAATGCACTGTGTCGAACTCCGAATGTGACACACATGCGACAAAGTGTAAATGTATAGATACTTTTACAGAAAGTACACCTGACGGAACTACATGCACTGCATCAACACAAACAAATTATGGAACTGATTTTGACATTTAATATAACGAAAGTCTATTAAATTCATACACTGTACAATTAAAAAAGTATAAAATATGATATTCAATCTTAATAGTTTATGTTAACAAACCGGAACTTCATGCATTTAACCAACAAGTAATGAAAATATTTCTTACATTTACTGACCTAAACAAATTGAACATAAGTGTCTAAGTTTTACCAAAATATATCATTACACATTGTGAAGTAAAACAACAAAACACAATTACTTTGTTTACTTTTTTCAGTCTCTAGAATGTATACAAATGTTTCGCTATTTTCATAACGTTTGTTTCGGTTTATGAAATATTTAAGTCCTATATAAAGTTTTTCGTTTTATTCCACATTTTACATACTGCACAGTTTCTTTACAATAAACCGCGTATATCCCGTAATGCAGTACTATGATAATTATACATTAATTGTGCAAAAATTATCGCCGGGAAAGACATTCAGGTAACTGTTTTGAAGGCCATTGTTGGGAACCGACATTTAACTAAATTGCAGAAAGAAACTATTCAATTTTAGGGACGGCTGTCATTAGATATATTTCTAGATTTCTTACAGGTTGAGTAAGGATAGACTAATTTGACTTCATAATGTCATCAACGAACAACTATTATATTGCTTCCCAAAAGATTCTCCTTATTTGTAGAAAATTAAATTTATTTATTCAGCACTTGGAACCACGTGTGATGCGAACAATGCGCAAACTGTTTGTACAGAAGCAAATGCAGATTGTTCTTCGGGGAAATGTTCCTGTCAGACAAATTTTGTAGAAGAAAATGGGCATTGCCTAAAAGGTTTGCTATTTGCTTTAGTGTTTAAAACAGTAATATTTTGATATGGTTGTTTTGAACTCATTTTGTAATGAATACATTTTCAATATATTCATCACTTTTATGTAAGTCTCGCTACATAAGAAGTAACGTATTTGCTACTTTATCTCAATATTATATTCTTAAAACGCATCGTTTGATATGTAGATGCGATGAAAAAGAAGATTTTATGATAAGCTAGCAATAGCCTTTAACTCTAAATTCATAATCATTTAACCCCTATGCTTATAAAATTCAGTTTGTACATTTGATGACACCATGGTGATATATAAAATAAATACATCAATATATCTAATTTTTTCTACCTTAATCCATATTAGGCTCAATTACATGAATGCATTTCTTGTGAATGTATGCATGTATATGTGTGTTTACAATTGGGATACAAATACTGACTGGGCTACTTTTCTTTTCTTTTTTTTCATTCTTACATATGAGATAGTGTCAATCGTAATTACAAACAGTCGTTTTGCCATGTGTTCATGCTTTCTCCTTCCAATTTTAAGCTGTTGGCCAACAATGTGCAGCAGCCACGGAATGCGTATCAAATGCTGATTGTGATACAACTTGTAAATGCAAAGAGGGGTTAGTTGATACAAACGGATTGTGTGCAAAACGTGAGTTAATTCAGCAGAACAAATATATCAAAAGCTTTTGCTGTTATGATTATTATCATTTAGGGATACCAAATGTTTTCTTCTTACTTTGTCTTTTCATTTGCAAAATCTAAAGGACTATAAAGCCTCAAAATATTAGTATTATTATCTCTTAAAAATGTTTTATTTTTTTTACTTTGTTCTTTTCTTTTGTTCATTTTGGGCTCTTTACGTTACTATAATGAGTATTTTGTTTTTGAAGCCAAAGTATCGGAAACGCAGTGCCACAGCAATACCGAATGCACTGTGTCGAACTCCGAATGTGACACACAAGCGACAAAGTGTAAATGTAAAAATACTTTTACAGAAAGTTCACCTGACGGAACTTCATGCACTGCATCAACACAAACAAGTAATGGAATTGATTTTGACATTTAATATAACGGAAGTCTATGTAATTCATACATTGTACAATTAAAAAAGTATAAAATATGATATTCAATCTTAATAGCTTCTGTTAACAAACCGGAACTTCATGCATTTAACCAACAAATAATGAAATTATTTCTAACATTTACTGACCTAAACAAATTGAACATAAGTGTCTAAGTTTTACCAAAATATATCATTACACATTGTGAAGTAAAACAACAAAACACAATTACTTTGTTTACTTTTTTTTCAGTCTCTAGAATGCATACAAATGTTTCGTTATTTTCATAACGTTTGTTTCGGTTTATGAAATATTGAAGTCCTATATAAAATTTTTCGTTTTATTCCACATTTTACATACTGCACTGTTTCTTTACAATAAACCGCGTATATCCCGTAGTGCAGGACTATGAAAATAGCACATAAATTGTGCAAAAATATCGCCGGGAAAGACATTCAGGTAACTGTTTTGAAGGCCATTGTTGAGAACCAAATTTAACTAAATTGCAGAAAGAAACTATTCAATTTTAGGGACGGCTGTCACTAGATATATTTCTAGATTTCTTACAGGTTGAGTAAGGATAGAATAATTTGACTTCATAATGTCATCAAAGAACAACTATTATATCGCTTCCCAAAAGATTCTCCTTTTTTGTAGAAAATTAAATTTATTTATTCAGCACTTGGCACCACGTGTGATGCGAACAATGCGCAAACTGTTTGTACAGAAGCAAATGCAGATTGTTCTTCGGGGAAATGTTCTTGTCAGACAAATTTTGTAGAAGAAAATGGGCATTGCCTGAAAGGTTTGCTATTTGCTTTAGTGTTTAAAACAGTAATATTTTGATATGGTTGTTTTGAACTCATATTTTAATGATATATTCATCACTTTTGTGTAAGTCTCGCTACAAAAGAAGTAACATATTTGTTACTTTATCTCAATATTAAATTCTTAAAATGCATCGTTTGATATGAAGATGCGATGAAAAGGAAGATTTTATGATACGCTAGCAATAGCCTTTAACTCTAAATTCATAATCATTTTACCCTTATGCTTATAAAAGTAAAACATTAATATTCAGTTTGTACTTTTGATGACACCATGATGATATATAGAATGAATACATCAATATATCTTATTTTTTCTACCTTAATCCATATTGGGCGGCTCAATTACATGAATGCTTTTCTTTCTTGTGAATGTATGCATGTATATGTGTGTTTACAATCGGGATACAAATACTGACTGGGCTACTTTTATTTCTTTTTTTTTTTCATTCTTACATATGAGATAGTGTCAATCGTAACAACAAACAGTCGTTTTGCCATGCGTTCATGCTTTCTCCTTCCAATTTCAAGCTGTTGGCCAACAATGTGCAGCAGCCACGGAATGCATATCAAATGCTGATTGTGATACAACTTGTAAATGCAAAGAGGGGTTAGTTGATACAAACGGATTGTGTGCAAAACGTGAGTTAATTCAGCAGAACAAATATATCAAAAGCTTTTGCTGTTATGATTATTATCAATTAGGGATACCAAATGTTTTCTTCTTATTTTGTCTTTTCAATTGCAAAATCTATAGGTCTATAAAGCCTCAAAATACTAGTATTATTATCTCTTAAAAATGTTGTATTTCTTTTTACTTTGTTCTTTTCTTTTGTTCATTTTGGGCTCCTGCTACATTTTCCAAATAGTACTTACTGGTAATATAGATGGAACATCTTTTGATTCCTTTGCTCTTTTGCAACTGATACAGTTATTTATGTGTTTAAGTATTTTGTAAAGAAGCATAATACCACTCTGTTTAAATTCTAAAACCTTTATTTCACGTTCAACTCTACATTCTTCAGGTGATTAGCATCTATCCTATCCTTAATCAATTATTAAAATATTAAACTTTTAATGATGACATCAGCATATCCAATTTTCGATATACTTTTGTTCTGACATTAACGTACATATATGTTTGTAATTTATCTACAATTTTGTACAAATACCTTAATCAGATCTACGAAAATAAACTCAAATCAGAATATACGCCCAAGTTTATTTACCTTATCAGGTTTTATGTTCCTACTATCTCAGAAACTTAAAAAAAAACCATACTTATTTCATTTTCAATAGCGTCATCTGCTACATCAGTTAAGACAGCCCTGAGCGTCATGAGCATACTGACGATGTTGAACATTCTTTTGAAAATGTTTTAAAGGTAAGACTTATTATGAATGTTCAAAAGACTGTCTTTCAAATTACTGAAGTCATAGTGTTACATTAATTTATCATCCATTTCAATATGAACATTACTTGAAAACATTCATTTATGTGATTTAGGTTAGGTAAATTGTCGAACAAAGTTTATTCATGCAGAAATCCTGCTAAGGACATTTTGATGCTAGATATGAAGTAAATGTACGAACTGAACATCTTTTTCTCATTCAATCGTATTCTATGTAATAAAATCAATATTTGTTGTCACTAAATGATCTTAGAAATAATCATTGTTTGCATATATATCAAGATATTTCTATAATTTATTTTGTAGATTATCTTCGCAACGCTAAGAGATGGTGTACGTGTTTGATGGAACATATTAAGTATCTATTTTAAACAAATATTACTATATTTGTTTCTTCAAAAGGAACAACATAGTGTGTGATGGCTTGTTCATTGTATTTCTTGTTGATGACTTATATTTATTTTAATCTCTTTAAAATTTAAACGCAATATATATTAAATTGAACTTAAAATTTGACACAAGAATAAACACTCGAATTATATGCATGTATATTAGGGCTTCTAGTATCACGGTGGTTAAACTAAACGGTATTCTTTCTATACTGTCAATTTATGCGTTATATAGTCCTTCTTTGTGATTTGCCACCTGTTTCTTTATATACATTTACATAGTGAGTGTTTTAGAAAGGTTGTCAGATCTTCAAAATTTGCATTGTTTTACATAAAGAAGTAAACATTATTTATATTTTAAGAATTTGTACGGAACATTTCATATATTTTACTAAGTTAAACATGTACCGTCCCATATTATACATTAAACATGCATAGTGAATAAAAATCATTATGTGTTGTAAGGGGCTACGGGTAAGGTACGAATATGGTGCCGGATATGTAGCGATATTTGTTGGCAAAAGTTTGTATACGAAATTCAATATTCTTATAGAAATTGAACTAAACGGGTCTTACTGTGGGTTGTTGGCTTTTTAAATTTGTTACTAATCCGATGGTCCCCAGTTTTTGTTTATGTTAAACCTGTGATAATGTGTCTTATGTTGCATTGAGAAGTTTATTTAATGAACCGTCAATGTATTGTGGTTATTTTCTATGTTCATACAATACTTCTACGACAGTCTTGTCATGTTTTTTTTTAATTATTTTTTCTCGAAATTTATGTCCTGCCTTTGTGATAAATACATAATTTTCAACAAAGATTTGCTTTTTGTGTGTTAATGATTATTTCAGTCATTTTGCATATAAGATTGAATGCTGAATTGTTGTTGTTGCCGATGAAAAGAATATGTAAAATAAATAAATGACGTGTTTTCACTTTCTCTAGGAACATTTCTGAAAAACAGGAAACCCGTGTAGGTTTTAAATATTTTTCAATGTGTAATATGTTAACTTTGATGACAGTTTTAGTTTATTGTGCTTTTATAACCAATGTTTTTGCAGCTGTTACTACCTTGTTGATTTTATTCAATAAAGTTATAAAGTTATAAATGTTTGAGTACAATACTGTATTCTATTGGACGAGAACACAGCTGTCAAAACTATATTGGTGAGTCGCTAGCCAGGTCTGATATAGGTTTTGCAGCTGTGTACGAGTCAAATATAATCAGTATTGCTCTCAGCCATGTTTGATATCCTCTTTTTTCACACCATATTTTTTGCTTTTTGAACAACTTTATTGCTTAAATAACAAAAAATGTGATATGGAGTTTGGACTTTAAAATCCTAAAACGAGGTTAAATGGGGTGAAGTATGGTTTTTGACTGTGGAAATGTAAACGAGGATATATTGGATGTGATATAGAACAGATCTGATGCGGTTTTTCTGTCGTCATTCATTAACTAGCGTTGAAAAAGTCAACGAAAAAAAAAACAAAAAAAAAACTCTTCACTTCTTCATAAAAAATGACGATCAGGTTTTAGGCATGGTAAAGTAACCAAAGTTTTGATGTTTCCCTCTATATCATTAACAGGCAAAAATAACACATTGATAAGCATTTAAAATGAACGAGTGTATTCTATAATTATCCAGTCCCTGTACATATCGTAGTCGGTGCCGTTGATTTCGGTATAATCAAAATACTTGTATATTACCCGTAGTCCTCCTTTCGCTTCTATTTTGCGATATAATGTCTTATGTCTGTGCTCTTAAATTTATTCTGAAACATGACATACGGATGATAATGGTGCAAACGGAAATTTAATCATTACCAATACTTTATCATAAAAACAACGTTGTATTTTACAAATTTCATTCATAGAGGAGGCTTTTTCGTTTTTTATTATCGATATAATTCAGAATTATGTCAACGGAGAAAATAATAGAATATTGAACGTGTATAATTAATATTATCCGTGAGACAAAGCTTTTTGATAACTAACAAATCTGTGAGACTTTTTATCATCCGTTTTCAGTTTATTGTCTATGATTTTAAGATAGAAACTGGCTCTGACTCGTTTATGAGCAGGGAAACGCAAAATTGACGTTTAGAAGCAGTTTTGATTAACCAACGTGAGAATTATGAACAATGAAAATAACATTAATTTTACAATTTTTTACAATAGTGTTATATATTTGCGTGGCTATTCTATTGTTTAAATACCCTGAGTTGAATTTAACAAAATATACTTTATCACAAAACTGTTATATAACATTTTCATAACGTAAATACTTTATATTATTTATATGGTGAACATCTTTAAATCACACATCGATAAAAGTGTTATTCAGATTTTTTTACCATTAGTTTGTTAGTTAAGAAATTATGAACAAATGTTTTATTTTCAAACTAGCACCTTTATTTCGTACGTGAATATGTTTACAATATAATCGTTATTATTTTGTTTAAACATGCTTAAAGATGGTTTCTGAGTTTTGCTTAGATATATGCGGACATATGTTTTACCGCGGTATGTACATATTTTCCGCAAAACAAGCAATATTCCCATCGAATAGGCATATGAGCATTCTAAATAACGATGTTTGTTTGAAAATAGATGCTTCTCCCATTGTTTTTATTAATTTAGAGGTTATCTTTATGTTAATAACAATGTGGTAACAAGAAGTCTTTCAAAGATCAATAAACAATTGTTCTACGAATCTTTTTTGTTGTTTATTTTAAATCACATCATAGTATTAATTCCCTCGGTTACATAGTTCATTTTTAAATTAAATACCATTTAAGGCTTGTGTCAGAGATGTTGCATCCCTTTTAATCTCTTATAAACAGACTCATTTAAATCTTGTTTGCAATTTTAACCTTTTTGTTTTGATTCACTGCTCTCGAAGGATTTCCCATTTTCCAGAATACCATACCTACAACAGCATGCGTAATGTGTTGTATGTGTAAGTTATTTAATTTACCTTGCTCGACATGCCTGAACAACCAAAAAGTTGGGAAAAACCGATCCTGAACTGTAGTTGTGACCCTTTGCCGACCTCCAGCATGCCACCTGGCGGGTGTACCATGTATCTCTTCAAGGCTCTGGTGATGAAGGTGTGGTGTACACCAAGTGCCGCACCAACCTGGCGGAAGGTAGCCCCCTCCTCCACCATCCCTACATCCCTTTATAACTCTGCTACTCTCATTGCCGCCTTATGTTAGCATCCGCTGAATCAAAGTGACAAATGTAAGCCGCTGAATGACAATAAGCCGGTAATTTGGCCGTATAACAAAAGACATGTGATTGTACGAGATATGATCAAAAGTTTTCGGCCCGATATACTTCAAGCCACTACACTGCCATTTAAACACGATACGTCAATACCGATATCTTACTGAAGATTACTGACCGAGTTACAAGACCATAAGTTGGGTTCTCTGACTACCGGAAGTACATCGGGCCAAGAACTTTTTGACCAATCCTCGTACACCCCATTAACAACATGAAATTATTTAGGTGCATGCTTTTCATGCTACCTAGACGTGATGTAACCGATTAGTCAATACGGTCTTATGTCTATCTCAAAACATTGCTGAATCAGAATTTTCAAAAAAATAGAAAAAATAGAGAAAATAAGAATCCCTAAAGAAAGCCCAAAACGGCAAAATCAAAAATGTTGCAGGCTCGGTTTGATTGAGCCTGTTGTCAAGTGCAAACTACCGTCCAAGCCCCCAAGCACCGGCTAAAGCAGAATTCAACATTTAACATGAACTGATACAATTTTGAAACATCCGTAGATGTATTCATATGGCGGTTACTATGTTACCTTCAATGTGACACATAAGTGCCATTCCATGAAAAGCGGCATATGGTCCCCTAGTAAAAAAATGTGTTTGCCCTAAACGAGAAAACAATGAGCGGAACTAAATAAAATGGATTTTTGATAGGGGATGACGTCAAACGACAAATTTAAAAAGCAGATCACATATAATAAGGGTGATTCAACAGTATTCAAGTGAGGAATACCGGAACCACCCAACAAGAAAGAAGCCAAACAGAAAGAACTTAATTACCACAAGCACAACAATAATGTCGTGCTGAACGATCTTTAAGGATCGGACATATAACATCTCTGACTAAATGTACGGGGCGACTTTTTACAGCCTCCACACGGCCCAAACAACGCAGATGTGCCGATAAAATAGAGATTATAAAAATCGCTAAAGAAAGCCCAACACGGCAAAATCGAAAATGTTGCAGGTTCTGTTTGAGCCTGTTCATGAACGGTACTCTCAAGTGCACACTGCCGTCCACGCCCCCTAGAAATCTGTTTTATACATGTGATAATATAAACATTAACTTATGGTGCTTAGCAAAGGTTGAGTAGTATATATAGCTATCGGGTGCTCGCGTAGAAAATAAACAATCGACTTATTTCTCTTTGTGTCACCGTGAAAAACGTGTCGCGAGTACTATTGAGTTATTAACTTTATTATAGATTGATTTAATTTTTAACATTATCCATTGACATAAAGTCTAAGTAAAATGTTCATGTTTAGCCCATGATAAACTAGTGGTTATGTAGCCCTTAATTCTACTTTAATCAATAACATTGACAGCACTGCAATACAGAAACGAGAATCATTGCCTTTTTAGTGAACAGTTATTCTGCGAACCGACTGAGCCACAACATGCAAAGGAATATAACCCCAAATCAATCTGTAAAGCCCGTTAAGTGATTTGGGTTTCATGCACATACAATTACAAGTCTTTTGTGTTTAACCTAATCATCAGTCACCGACATAGACATATTCCAGCGAATATGGTAATTATTTAGGGCATTTTTTTTCGGTAACATACTAAGCCAAGAGTCATCACGATAGCGTTAATTGTCAAAATTATACTTGTATTAGTAGTTATTTTGTAACAGGGTCAAATATATTGTGTGGCAATATTTGCCTGGATTTACGTACTATGAATTATACTTTCATTTTAATCCAATACGAAAACCGACTTATGAACACATCTGCGGATGTTTCAAAATTCCAAATTGTACCAGTTCATGTTAAATGTTGAATTCTACTTAAGTCAGTGCTAGGGGGCGTGAACGGTAGTATGCACGTCAATGAGCAGGCTCAATCAAACCGAACCTGCAACATTTTCAATTGTGCCGTGTTGGTCTTTAGGGTATCTTAATGCGGAAACTAACGAAAAGCCTTCCGAAAAGTACTCATGTCAGGTAAATATTGTCAGGTGAATATTGCCAGTCAATACATTACCCTTAAAGCTAGTTGCTTAATCATTTTCTATATCTACGTGTTTGTATTTCAACGTTATATACCTTTGCTATTGTCCGTAGTTCTTGTTTTTTTTATTATAAAATTTATAACCCAAACGCCATAAGGTATGTATATAAGAACTGTACAATCTTTAAAACTTTGTTGATAATCCTTTCTTTCCTATTTTCAATATACCCACAAGCTGCACAATGCACACGCACTTGTTGACCAAAAACATGTCTTTTGTTTTAGTTTAAAAATATAACAACAAATTTGAATATAGACATTTTGGGCTAAAGTCAACTTTTCATTTAGCTGAATCATATTTTTTTGAGTAGCACATACATGTACTTGTCTTTTCTCAAGGCCCAAACTTACAGCAGAGACAACAATGGTCCCATTTTGTTTTGTTGAGCTACAACACTTTTCTTTCGGTAGAGATTTTGTTTGCTTTTGTAACAGAAGCTATATTCTATTAAATTAAATATAAAAAACAACTTCAGTCAATACATTGCACATTTTTTCATATGATTATGTATTCAATGTATTTAAATAAGGCAATAATCATATTTGATACTCATTGTCTTAATCTATATTGATAAAACATTGTCCTTTTATTATGTTTCTTTGAAGAACGTATTTACTTTTATCTCTTATTTTAAATCATATAAGGCGCTGTAT